TCGAGTTGATTGTGATTTATAAAAGGGAAACCGGGGTAGGAAGTGCCGAACGCACTTTCCTCGCCGGTACGCAATGTTCGGTGAATCGGAAAATGTATGGACCTATTTTTCGGATTTCTACTACGTAAGCAACGTTCCCACGTGAATCCTACACACGGCGTTATACATGAGGCCCCAGAGCTGGGAGACTGAGCTAAAGCAGGAGATGATGAAGAAGAATGACCTGACCAGGAGGAACAAAACCTTGGAGACGGAAGTCCAAGAGTTTAAAGACCAGAGGAGAGAGCAAAAGGAAAAGGAGAAGGAAAGCCTGGCTCAGGAACAACTGAGCTGGGAGGCAAAAGAGAGAATGGTGGAGGATGAACATCAAGTCCTGCAGGACGTGTTCTGCAAGAGGGCGACTGAAGGAAAGGTCATCCCTTTGCAGAAAATGCAAAGCCAGACGCCACAGAAGGACAGGGCAAGGGAAGCAAAGATGGAGGAAGCTGAGGCAAGTATAAACGCCACAGAGGAGACGGAAAATATGGAGGCGACGGAGAACTACGGGGAGGGTGTGTGGAGCTGGACGCACCAGAAGTGTGACAGCGACATAGAGTGGGAGGAAGCTTGAGAACCGTAACTCCCTCTTCCTCCTCCCTAACTCCCTCCTCCCTCAACCCTCCCCTTTTCTCACATTGGGTTTTGTCCTGGAGCCCAGGTTTTCCCGCAATCCATATTCTTGGAATTAGGATTACAAAAGAATAACAGCCAACTTCCTTCTCCATTTACCTCACCTCCTTCCCCCTACATCACCCTCTCTCCCCTTACTTCACCCACCACTCCATCCTCCATTTACCTCACCTACAAACTCCCCCCCTAACTCTACCACCAACCGAAGAGTCGCCAAAGACCCATATTCATAATAAAAATTAGGGTCAACAAAACTTAAAGGTTACCTGATTCGTTATTGGCTGATTGTTGCACAACCCAGAAAACTGTTGTGACATCACAAAGTGGCCAAAATCTAATCTCATTTTCAGGTTTATATATACTCTGGTGTTTATATGTACTCTGGTGTTTATATGTACTCTGGTGTTTATATGTACTCTGGTGTTTTTATAGATTGTTCTTGGTGTTTTTGTCTCACTATACAGGTTCATTGTTTAAAAAAAAAAAGTGTTCATTTCACTGTTGAAATCAAAAGGTGTTTATCAGGCTGCAAGCTTTATGTCTTCATCACATGCAAATTGTTTGCGCTACTTAAACACGCACAAATCCAAGATTACCAAGTTTGCCAACATTACGTGCTAACAGTAGGGAGGAGTGCAAAGTTCCATCACATATAAGAGACCAGGTAACATACACCCATAAACAGCTGATACATACTTGTTTCCTTTCTCTGCATCTCCGTTAACTAAAGGGATCCATTTAGTTTTAATCTGAAGAACAAAAGCAGAGACAGGCAAAAATGCATTAAGTCAATGCTATTCATAGTACGTGGAATGCTTATACAGTAAGTTACAATATAAACAAGTATCAGGTTACTACCTTGTCTATCGTGTCCTCGTTGGTGACATCGTACACAACACACACCACATTAGCCTGTGTTGTTGAAGAAAGAACAGGTTTATCAAGAAGAATACATTGAGCTAGAAAACAACTAAGAAAAAGATGTGGATGTTTATGTTCCTGGCATGAGTTATGTAAATACAAGGCCTTGTAGACATGTCTTAACAAATTATATCTACAATTATATTCATTTATCTGGCTCCAAGTTGTTATTCTAAATGAGGGAATATCAATAATCATCATTACCCAATTCAGTCCATTAATTGAAATTGTTCAAACAGATGACATTAGTGCTGTTTGGTGTACTTACCTTGATGATCTCATTTTTAAGGACTTCATCACTCTGCTCTGTTTCTGTTGAGGGCAAACAACATTTGTTTTAAGTCATAGTCAAAGCAATCCAGTTTGACAAACCGCACACACACAAACAGACACAGAGGACTGAGCAATGTTGTTGTTAGCGTTCAGGTCATGTTACCCGAGTAGTCCACTATGTGTGTTGGCACTTTCTCTGGAGTCACGTCAGCAGGGATGGTGATTTCCTCGGCTCTGAGAGGAACCTGTCAGAGAGATGTATATAAAGTGTTAAATATTTGCCAGCAAGTGCAATAAAACTTGAATAAACCAAAACTTTCCATAGACAATACTACCCCAGTACAAAGGAAAGTAACAAGTAGCACAAAGATAAAAACCTACTTTGATATCAACACAGTGATTCTAGTCAAAAAGGGGATTAAAACAATAACAGTTTGTAATATATATCTTATCCTGCAAGTCATTTTTGCAAACATAGTAGAAAAGCTGATGATATTTTCGAGTAAACAGCAAAGGAATTTAAACTTGAAATAGCTTGCCCTGCGTGAATATCAACAAGCAACAAATAGTTGTCTTCACTGCACAAAAATAAACCAGTTTTCTCTGAAGTGGCTACAATAGAGTAACTGTGGCTATAATAAGCAAACCGTATTATAGATATTAGAGTCAGCTGGTGTAAATGTCCCAAGTTTTCATGGACATACAGTACTCCTTTAGGTACAGCAGGGATACATAGTTAATCTGACACTTACCTCTTCTGGGAACTCCTCTCCAACCAAAGACATGATGAGTGATGTCTTCCCCACCTTGGCTGTTGGAAATAACATGAAGAGGATGAGAGGGGCTCAGAGGAAGAATAAATGATCCAAATTGGCTTGTGTGAAAAAAGAGGCAGCACCTACTGTAGAAATAAATGTTGTAGAAAGTTAGCTGGCTAGTCCTTATGTTATCATTTACATAAAAACCCTGATATGGACTGACTAGCTCATTATTAGTACAAGATCTGATTACTTCTACTTTTACTAAAGTACAAGTTCTGAGTGTTTCTTCCTACTCTGACTGTTAGTTTAGTAGCAGCCGTTATGTTAATGTTAGTTTACATGTCAATAATCTCAAACTAACGGATAACTCAAATATCAGAAAATTAAATAAACATTGCATCTGTTTATTGGGTAATGTATATTTCAGTGGACGGCAGCTGATAATTTAGCAAATAATAATAAAACATGTTTACTAACTTCTCTATGGCAGCTAACTAATAACCGTTCAGAAGTTACTGAGCTAACGGTTAGTTAGCATTGCGGAAATCAGCACTTGGAAAGCGGCCAATTCATAAAAAACATATAATTTAATAACATAGAATACAGTGGGTGCAGATATACATATTAGGACAGTTTTCGACACCATGCCACCAGGAGTAGCCGAGGTAAATTCAGCGACAAGTTGCCAAGTTAGCTTAAACTGCTAATGTTTGCTAGTCTTTTAGCTTGTGGTTTACTGTCAGTGAAATGACTCACGTTCCCCCAATAACAGAATCCTGACGTCCTGCTTCATGTTTCCTATCTGTTTGACGAACAGTCCGACACGCTGCGGTGCTACAGTAACATTTATCTTGCATTTGAATGTCAAATTCTAGATTAAATCAAACGTGTGGCTGCTCTCCACAGCGATATGCACCAAGGTGAAAGCATATCATTCCGGTTCACAAAGAGGAGGCGGGGAAACATGCCCCCTGCTGGGCAAAGGGACACCCTGCAGACACTGTTTACACCACATTGTATTTAATGAGGTTTGATTGTAGTCTATAAAACAAATAAAGTATCTATTTATCTATCTATAAACGTACATTTACACAAGTACTGTACTTAAGTACAAGTTTGAGATACTTTACTTGAGCATTTTCATTTTATGCTACTTTGTACTTCCATACTAGGACTACTCCACTACGATTAGGTAAACGTTGTACTTTTACTGCACTACATTTATTTTATACCTTTAGTTACTTTACAGATTTTGATTAATGATGTGAAATATAATCAACAATTAAAACATACTTTAGTTACACCTGGAGTAGATTCACAGGCTACCCTGCAGTATACAAAGTTATTAAAACTAGTTGCACCTTTACCAGCTTTGATAACACTTTAATGATCAATCATTATAATCAAAACTTATGATATATATTTATTTCTGAAATGGACAAATCTGCAGAATGAGTACGAACACTCTGGTACTTCTACTTTTACTCAAGTACCAGATCTGAGTACTTGTCCCACCTCTGTATATTACACCCAAAATGTTACATAACTAACCACAACATTATTGGTAAATAATTTGCTGTTTAAATATAAAATAAATGAAGTAGCCAATATTTTTGTTTGATTTCTATTTTAGAAAAAAAAAAGAGCAGCGATAAGAAAGATGGACGTCTTATTTAATGTAATTATTACCAAAAAATAATGGTGCTCTGCCTGAATCTTTAAGACACAGTCATGTAAGGGAACATCATTTGAGTAATTACTGTTTGAATGACTGGGGCCTTTCCTCATTCAAACCTCTAGTGTTGCTTTAGGTGTCTATTCCTCAGGGAGATCACAAGGAGACAGAGTTATGTGTATTAAATAACAATATCACAGCACAGACAAGAGANTACACCCAAAATGTTACATAACTAACCACAACATTATTGGTAAATAATTTGCTGTTTAAATATAAAATAAATGAAGTAGCCAATATTTTGTTTGATTTCTATTTTAGATGTTTTAATGTAATTATTACCAAAAAATTATGGTGCTCTGCCTGAATCTTTAAGACACAGTCATGTAAGGGAACATCATTTGAGTAATTACTGTTTGAATGACTGGGGCCTTTCCTCATTCAAACCTCTAGTGTTGCTTTAGGAAAAGCAACAGATTGTTAAAATCGGGGTTTATTATAGTGTCTATTCCTCAGGGAGATCACAAGGAGACAGAGTTATGTGTATTAAATAACAATATCACAGCACAGACAAGAGAAGAAATAGACAGGATAATTTAAGCCCTCACAAATGATGTTTATTATAGTGCCAGAAACAATGACTATAGCAGCCTCCCCCCTTGTATGTGTGTCTGCACCATCCAATCATTGTGAAAGTCATCTTGTATTATAGTTTTTTATTTTGCATGCTGCTTTTTATTTAAACCTCATGCCATCCTTCAGCAGCCCACAAACCATAATTCTATCTACAACTGAAAAAATATATAGAAATAACAGCAACGTACCATTATACAAATCTTAAATGTACAGTAAGAAAACCTTACAAAAATTGTCAAAAATGACAAGAAACTGGAAATACAAATCAATCACTTAAAAATTGTAATATAAAACCATGCACGTAAAAAAAAAATCTATGTGGCATATGAACAAAAAACCTCTCCACAAATTATAGCTCGACTAAAATAAGAAATAAATAAATATGGAACAATAAAACTACAGAAAAAACCCATTTCAACTAGGCACCTGGGAAAGAGGAAAGTGTTAGAGGGTGAAAAAGGCCCTCAGAGGTCCTGCACCTCCCACAGCAGGATCTCATTATAAGCTACAGTGAAGAGAAGCTTCCCTGAAGGCGAGAAGCGACACGTCTGCAGCGAGTCGCTGTGCTGCAGGAAGTCCTGGAACCTGCCGCTGGACGACTTGATCAGCTTCACCACCCGCCCTGATAAGAGATTAGATATATAGTGAGACATCAAAACGTACCCTTCTTTAATATAACACATTACTGGAACCATATGGTGACACATCATTACAAAACTTCACCTTTTGATCCCACAGCTATGAGTTGGCTGTGACAGGAGAGGCTTAAGCATGTGGCCCAGTCGGGAAGGGCAATCGTTTTGATTATCTGTAGTAAAAGAAATATCATTTTATAAGAGGTAACACTCATTTCTTCCCTCTACAGTGACAGGAAACATCACACACAGTGGTAGAGGAGGGAAGCAGGGGGAGCTGTTGTACCTGTTTCTTTGCCAGGCTGTAGAACGACAGCTCTTTCTCCACTCCATAGCCGGTGTAGACCAGCAGGCCGGGGTCTGCGGGGCAGAAGGCAGCCAGGCTGGGAGGTGGGCTGTCATCCTATATAGCATCAAATATTTACATGTATTAGATGTGCAAAGGTCAAACTTAGATTGAGCTTCATTCGGTAGAAATATCCTAAATACACTGCAACAAAATGCTGAAAGAACGCTGAAAAGAACGCTGAAATCTCAATAGACACCAAGAATTTAGAATAAAGTAGGCTGTTAAATGCACATGTGTTAGGTTCGAAGCGCTGAGCCTGTCACTTTCCTGAGCTAAGACCCCAAATCAAGAAGCTCATTTAATTGAATCCTGTGAAATGACAAATAACATTAGATTCAGCAAAGACAGTCCTGAGTATTGAATGAATAAAAGGGTTAGGGGTTAATAAGTCATAATGAAGGCTAATATGAATTTATTTGAGATGGAAGATAGAGTATCTTTCAACATTTGGAGGTACATTTTTTGTCATTACCATGTACTACTACTTCAAATACAAACTGTACCCCGATATAGGCGGGAGCAGGAAATGTCAGCCAGTCAAGTAGATCACATTTGTCGTTCAGCCAATCAGCAGCCCACACACTGACGCGTCTGTCAGCACTGGCAGCCAACCACATCTCCTTTCCTTCGAGTTTGAGATTCTTACACTGAGGATTAGGAGATAAAACAGGCGTCAGTTCAAACTAATGAAAAATATCAGAAAATGGCAACAAAGGAAATCAGAGCGCACATTTAAATCAATGTCAGACCATCATTTGTATAGGATGAAAGCAGGAAACATCTCAAGAGCACTTGTACTCGAGGAGCCAGATGCCACTTCATTCTCCAACATACAATATCTGATCAATTGAAGTGCATATGAAAAGATCATCAATGCCTCTCGAATAGAAAATCAGGCTGCTATTGATTTAAAATTCTGCATGAAAGCCACAATAATACATTTGTATTTATTTATTTTAATCGTTTACTTGGCAGGGACAATGCATAGTAATGAACACTGAAAACATTCAAATGTGTCAAGCGTAACAGTGCCAGATTTAGCTTTGAGCTAATTTCCATCCGCAGTCCCTCACATAATATATTTAAGAAAATTACATTTTACAAACATAGCAAAAACAAAATACATGATATGCAAAAAGTGCAAAAGAGCAAGAACAGCATACACAAGTATTTATGACATGGTAATACAATATAGCAGCAACGACAAATGACCAATGGCACTTTTATTTAAAGTGATCGTATAGTATAAAACCAGCAGTGGCGAACCGTCAGGGCCTTCAAGGTATTCAGAGAATACCCTGGAACACTCAGATAAAACAAACAAAAAATCGATTTAATTATACTAATAAAATGTAATACAATGTATATAAAATGAATAAATGAGAATTGTATCTGTGTTGTTGATCTGTAATATTACAGTGTTACGTTGATTTGTTTGTCCTTCTCGGACCATGCACTACGCATTTCAGTGGTTTTGTGTTAGAAAAGAAAGCAACCAATCAGATCTTGTTCTGGGTTTCTGGGTAGAATATCCTTCAACCAAGGTATTCTTCATCCTTGATCGAATGCCCTGGTCGTTTCACTGAATGAGAGTGTACGTTTGGACTGACAGTTTGATCAACCAATCATATATTGATTTNTTTTGTAGAAATACTACGTCCCAAGTTGTGGACCAACGTAGTTATTACACGTTTTTTTGTGAGACTGGGTTGGTATTTTACAGGAAAGGAGCGAGCAGAGGGTCGAGTTGTCGATTCTTGTTCAGTTTTCTGCAGTGACGAACCGTCAGGGCCTTCAAGGCATTCAGAGAATACCCTGGAAAACTCAGATAAAACAAACAAAAAATCGATTTAATTATATAAATAAAATGTATATAAAATGAATAAATGAGAATCGTATCTGTGTTGTTGATCTGTAATATTAGTGTTACGTTGATTTGTTTGTCCTTCTCGGACCATGCACTACGCATTTCAGTGGTTTTGAGTTAGCAAAGAAAGCAACCAATCAGATCTTGTTCTGGGTCTCTGGGTTGAATATCCTTCAACCAAGGTATTCTATATCCTTGATAGAATGCCCTGGTCGTTGCACTGAATGAGAGCGTACATTTGGACTGACAGTTTGATCAACCAATCATATATTGATTTGTAGCCAATGGGCGTATTCTTTCAGAGTTTCCTTCGGTTCCAGGGTGCTCTAGAAGGCCCGCTAGTTAACTGGCTCGAGACAGAGGATCTAGATGAATGTGATGAAGCAATTCATGCCGTTTTATTGTTTTTAACGTTGGAATTGCAAGTGCAACAGGTGAAGATGAAGTTGTTGCGGAATTGTTGTGAGTACCCTTTTCAAGACGACAATTCAATGAAAAGACGGACATTATAACGCC